ATTAAATATACTCTGAGAATGTACTTCCAACAAGCTGTGCCATCTTTTTATATAATTTCGATAGAAAAGCACATGTATTTCAATTAATTTAGTCAAAACCAAGTTCTCACTTTCTAGAAAATAGTACTTAAAAGAAAAATACCAGCTTAGAGCTTAGAGTATCTTCGAAAAAGCTGAACTCAGGCCTTTCACTGCAGAGAAGAGTTAGATGCCAGGCCCTAAGGGGTTGACGTCATGTGAGAAGCCAGGTGTTTAATCTTATTTCAGAGTCAAAGAGAAATGAGTTGTGAACTTGTCTGGTATTTTATATTCCCCACACCATTGTTATTGTTGTTAGTGTAGATCCATAAGGGAATTGGTATCACTCTTCACTTTCCTTCCAAAGATTTCAAAATATTTTACACAATCCGATAATGTACTCACAAGAGAGAAAATTATGGATCCTATAACAGTGTTAGACATTGATAGCAAGCATAGGAAAATGTTGAAAACTGGTTCAAGAGCATGGGCACTGTTACATCATGTGAGAGAATAATACTGCCAATTAATACCTGCAGCATCACTCAGAGGAATGTCTATCTCCTTCCTTCCTCTCAATTCAAATCTACATAAGGCCTGCTTCTTTCTTTTACTAAAACTGTATGCCCAAGAGCAAGAATGAACTTTAAAGGGATATGTCTCACTGGTCTGTCACTTACCCATGTTTCTTTGACCTCCTCAGAGCCATCAGTTTCATCCTCCTAGAAAGGAAAGAGGAAGAATATCAAGGTAATGATCGTCACAAACATCCTTGAAAGCAATGAGGTCAGTTCCCATCAATTGTGCATCTTGGCATTTCAAATATGGGCAATGAGAATTGACAGCCAAGTGATGCTCTGCCAAGTGATACTCTGTTACTGTCACTTTTAACAGCCATCATAGTCAGGCAACTTAGAAACATCACCTGTAGTCAAACATCAAATGTCAAATCAACCACAGTTGGAAAAGGGCTCTCTTCAAGACAGACAGACTTAATTTCATCTTTGTCAATATTGATCAGCCTATAGGGCCTTATAATAAATAAATTATTTTACAATTATGGTTGCAGTTCTTGTCTCACTAAATAGGCTTACCTAATTTTCAAATGAATCACTGGTCATCAGGATCCCTTGTTCAAGTTATTGGCCACTTGTTCTTTATTATGCCAATAACAAAGTTGTTAAGGAGGGAATACAACAAGATATGAATGAATTAAAGTACTGAATGTATATTTGTAGTAGGCAAGCATTGGTGCACCCATCTTTATTTTTTAAAGCCAAAGTTAATCTGTTTTATGTTCCTTTTCTCTTCTAAAAGAGTAAAACTGAGTCAGACGAACTTGTATTACTTACAGATTTTATTTTTTGAGTTGGAGTCTCACTCTGTTGCTCAGGCTGGAATGCAGTGGCACAAACACAGCCACTGCAGCCTTAACCTACTGGGCTCAGGCAATCTTTCTGCCTCAATCTTCCAAGTAACTGGAACTACATGCACACGCCACCATGTCCAGCTAATTTTTGATTTATCGTAGAGATGAGATCTAGCCAAGTTGCCCAGGCTGGTCCTGAACCCGTGGGCTCAGGCAATCCTCGTACCTTGGCCTCCCGAAGTGCTGGGATTATAGGCATGAGCCACTGTGCCTGGCCTACTTACAGATTTTAAATTCCTTGAAATTTTTGTAGCTCTCCTAAATATTTAGTTAGAATCTCTCCTTATATGTAGTATGATGATATTGTAGACTGGCCGGGCTCGGTGGCTCAGCCTGTAATCCCGTGCCTTGGGAGGCTGAGGTGAGTGGATTGCCTGAGCCCGTGGGTTTGAGACCCACCTGGGCAACTTGGCGAGATCTCATCTCTACAATAAATCAAAAATTAGCCGGGCGTGGTAGCGTGCGCCTGTAGTTCCAGCTGCTTGGAAGGCTGAGGCGGAAGGATCGCCTAAGCCCAGCAGGTCGAGGCTGCGGTGGCCGGGAGCAGCCACTGCACTCCAGTCTGGGCGACAGAGTGAGACTCCAACTCAAAAAAAAAAAGAAAAAGATATTGTAGGCCAACTACATGACATTCAGGGTATATTAGGGATGACTGCCAAAACTTGATAAGCTTATTCACTTATTATGTTTACTTATATGGTTGTTTACTTCCAGTCTCTTTATTCTTTACCAATTGTTTACTAAGTGTCTACCATGTGCTTAGCACTTTCCTAGATACTGGGAATCCATCAGGAACATACCAAATGAGTCTCATATTAGCTGAGTCATTCTTTTTCTCTTTTTCTCAGTAACACTTCTTGACAATCTGCAATATTCATGGCACCACGTGGGACTTTTTCTTTTGAACTCAACTGAAAGGATGGCAGCCAAGAGTAATATGATATGCCCCAGCCGAGACCAATACACTTACACCCTTTGTCCAGAAATTGATGCCCGTGCCTCTTCGCCGTTCCTTGGGCCGCCTCCTCTCTCGGATGGATAGCCTACTAGAGGACTGCTCATCCAAATCTGCTTCTTCACTTTCTGGCCAGAGTAAAACAAAGTATGGATTTTAAGAATCTGGGACATGTGCACTGGGGAGAGATTTGCATCTTTTGAAATTCTACATACCATTTTTGTCCATTTCCTTTGCAGTTGTAATGTTTGAACTCTCAGAATCGGGGACTGAAAATCTATTTGTCCGTAGCAGATGAGAACTTGTGTAGAGTGAGGGTCTTGCAGAAGGAGACACTGGTGTTGTGGGTTTGTCTGGCTGAGGTGGACACCTCAGACGAAGACAGACAGACTGGAAATAATCCAAAGATGAGATATTAAAGGTCAAGTCCATCCAAAGGATAAGGACAACAGGTTATTTTTTCTTCTATATCAAGTAGTTTATTAGTACTTAACGCTCAATAAATTGCTAGTGAGTAATAAACTGCTAGTGAGCAGAACTGAAGTTAGTTAATTAGGAAAAAAACAGCTTCTGGACTCCTACTCTGAGAATATCATTATGCTGATAGCAGTCCAGATAAATTATTCCTAAATTGACCAAAGGGCATTAGGTAGCATTAACTGTATAAATAAAAATTCCTTTGGTCTTGGAATAAAAATAAGAATGATGGCCTTTTTAAGATGGGGTACTTAAAGGCAAGGTTTATGTAGGAAAATAAAAAGCTCAGGAACATGAAGAAACAGAATGTAGGAATTACCTGCGAACAGAGAAAAAATGTGAGCATCTACCCATTTCTGAATATTCTACCAACTTGCCATAACCAGGTTTATTGAAACTTTCTAAAGTTCCCATTTCCTCTTTTGTAGTTTGCTTGTTTTTTTTCCTTCTGAGCATTAGATAGGTAGAGCCTGGCAATAAGCATTACCTTGGTTCATTGAGGATGCAGAGATAGATAAGTTCTTATTATACAATTACAGCACAGAGATTGTACACTTTTTCATTTATAAATTATAAGGAGAGAAGCAATAAAATATAGTAAATTTGGAATCAGACATATCTTGGTTCAAATTCTAGCTTTTAGCACTTACTAGCTGTGTGACCTTGAATAACTTACTTAACTTCCTTAAGCCTCAGCATTCTCATCTGTAAAACAGGATAACCCCTTCTTCAGAGAGGATCATGAGGATTAAATGACATAATGTGTGTTAGGTCCTTAGAAGAATACCTGTTAATAAGTATTCAATAAATAGCTTATAAAACAAACAAAATATACAAATAGAACCTTGGTTTATGGCATTTAGTCATTCAGAATTAGAGCAAGAAAGGTATTCCTTTCTTCTAAAACTACAGTGACCTCAACATTTATCAGTTCACACTGGGACATTTTTGAGAGTGAAAAAAAGTGGTAATGATAATTACACAGAGGCCAGATGCAGTGGCCATGTCTGTAATCCTAGTACTTTGGGAGGTTCAAGACAGGAGGATCGCTTGAACCCAGGAGTTCGACACCAGTCTAGGCAACATAGTGAGACTCTGTTTCTTAAAAAAAAAAAAACAGCACTCTGGGAGACTGAGAAGAGAGGACTGCCTGAGCCCAGGGGTTTGAGACCAGCCTAAGCAACTTGACAAGACCTCATCTCTACGATAAATCAAGAAAAATTAGCTAGGCGTGGTGGTGCATGCCTGGTGTTCCAGCTATTTAGTGAACTGAGGCAGAAGGATCGCCTGAGCTCAACAGGTTGAGGCTGCAGTGGCCATGAGCATGCTACTGCACTCCAGCCTGGGCAACAGAGTGAGACACCGACTCAAAAAAAAAAAAGATAATTACACAGAGATAGCAGTCATAATTGGAACCATATTAGGTAAGTCAGGAGTTATGTTCACTCTAAATATAAAATTATTCCTTTGACTACCAACTCCACTGAAGAAATGACACAAAAGTAAAAATTTCCCTCCCAACAGTAGCCCCCAGAAGTGCTTTATGTTTGCAAGAATTTGAAGAACGATATATTAGTGGTTAAGAGAGCAAGTTGTGGAGTCAGACTGCCTATGTTCAAAGTCTTGCTTGAACTTCTTAGCTGTTGGGCAAGTTATGTAACCTCTCTGTGACTCCATTTCCTCATATATAAAATAAGGATAGTAATATCTACCTCAAAGGTTGTTTTGAGGATTAAATAAGTTAATACATATGAAATACTTAAAATAGTGCCTAGTATATACACTCAATAAATGATTACGTTTTTACTTGCATTTTTATTATACTATGACCTCCCTTTTTAGAATAAAAAGACACTTATTAAAAAGCATTACTTAACTCCCAGGGGGAAAAAAAGAGTACACTTAAGGACTGACATTCTCTAAATCCTTTGTTGCATATGTTTGCCAACTAAAGACAGCCATAGTGCGCTGTCTACTACAAGGCAGAATTTAGCACTTGAATTATCAGTGAATGAGAGATTGTCCAAATTAATTACTTTGCTTTTAGCACAATACATGCCAGCAAAAAAGAGCTCACCTCTTTATCCAAACTCTTGTCCCAGGGCTGTTGGCCCTCCACAGCTTCCTTTGCTGGGACAGCTGAAGGCTCACACTTTTCAGTGCTCCCCTCAAGACCTTCAGTGTCTATGGGCTTCTCACTAAGCTGCTCCTGAGCTTGCCTCTCTGCCCTTGACCGGCTGAAAGTCCTTTCTGCTTCTTGAAGGTCCGTTAGGGTAACACCCTGGAAAGATATAACAAGATCAGAGCAGTTTCACACTAACCATGAAATAACTCTTGATAGTTGAGTTGGGTTATTCCCAAAAATATCTAAAAGTTACTAAATCTCAAATGAAGCTCCCAAAATGCATAATGAGGACATTTCAAGCAATGCATTGCTTAAAATATGCACCTCAGTGTGCAAAGAACCCAGGCTTGAATCTAGGTACATTTTGAGCATAATACTTTAGCTTTTCCAATTTGATTTCCAGAAAATAGACCAACACTGATGTCAGTCTATTATAGATGTACTTACTCCATACCAAATAGTTCTCAATATCTTTATTTGAAAGCTCTCTATCCTCCTAAGATCAAATGATTACCAACAGAGATTCTCTGAACAGCAAACACTAAGAAACTTAACTTTACTCATAGAAAGAAAAACCAAGCTCAACAAGGTAAAAATTCAGAGTCAGGGCAGAAAAACAATTAAAAAAAAAAAATCTCCCCAAATCCCTAGACTAGTTTTTCTCTAACATCAATTCCCAAGGAACTCTAGAAATCATACAGAAATGTTCCAACAATTCATGTCCACCCCCACCAGGGTCATAGGTACAACAAGCAATAATGAGACACCTGCAGGAGAAGGAAGAAAAGGAGTTATAAAGAGAGTGAGCTGATTCTAACACAAGTAATCATGTACTCGAATTCTAAGAAAGACATTCCAAGGCTGAAAGGTAGTTGATCAGTTATCACATTTACAACTTGCTTCCCCCTCCCCTTTTTACTATTTATTCATTTATTCACTCAGTCTCTTAATAAATAATTAAGTGTCTTTAGGCATTAGACCTACAAAGATATATCAAATAATTAGTCAAGAAATTTTTTGATAAGAAAACAGATGAGTATGATGAGAGAATGTAAGTTTTAAGACAGAAACACAGGAATACATAACAGGAGTATTAAACATGGGTTTTGAAGAGCAAAGAAAAAAAAGAGAAAGAGCTTTGGGTAGTAGGGAGGGAGAAAGCATTATAGGCACAGGGAGCCTAGGCAAGAGACAGAAACAAGAGAGGCCATAGATGATTCGGGAATCTGTAGGTAATTTAACAAAGGTGAAACATACAACAAAGAAAGGGAAGTTGGGAGAGGGAGGGGAAAATGAGGATAGCAGAATTTAGGAAAGCAGAATGAGGTTTTCTTTAGCACAAGAAACTTAACTTTACTCATAGAAAGAAAAACCAAGGATCTTGTATGCCATGCTAAGGAGTTTGAGTTTTACTTTCTTTTGGGAGTCAGTGGTCCCTTTGAGAATCTAATATTATAGTATCTTCTCAAAAATTATGTACATAATTTAAGAATTTCAAAGATCTGACATGGACCTTTCACTGCATCTTTTTTTTTTTTTTGAGTCAGAATCTCACTATGTCATTCAGGCTGGAGTGCAGTGGCACGCTCAAGGCCAGCACAGCCTCTAACTGCTGGGCTCAGGTGATCCTTCTGTCTCAGTCTTCCAAGGAGCTGGAACCACAGGCACATGCCACCACACCCAGTGAGACTTTTTTTTATTTATTGCAGAGACGACATCTTGCCAAGTTGCCCAGGCTGGTCTTGAATCCCTGGACTCAGGCAATCCTCTCACCTCTGCCTCCCAAAGTGCTGGAATTACAGATGTGAATCACAATGCCCAACATACTGAAACTTTCCCCACAAAATACTTCTGTGTCCCGGTCTCTTCCACCTTTAATTCTATGTTGCCCTTTAGCAACTTCCCATCTTTTTCCATGCCTTCATAAACAAACTTGAAATAGATCCAGAGCAGTTTAGATTTCCCTACCATTTGTTTCTCATTCATGTATTTATTTAATAAATACACTGATTTTCTATTTCCTGTATGCTGGAGGGAAAAATGATTAACAAAAATATAGTCAGTCTTCTTCACACCCATTAGCACAGCTACTAGCAAAAAACATATATTGGTGAGAATGTGGAGAAATCAGAATACTTGTGCACTGTTGATGGGAATGTAAAATGGTATAGCCACTATGGAAAAAAGTATAGGAGTCTCTTTAAAAAATTAAAAATAGAGTTATCATATGGCCCAGTGAATCCCACTTCTGAGTTTACACCCAAAAGAACTGAAAACAGATTTTCTGGATGGTATTTGTATAGCCATTTTCATGGCATCATTAAATAACTAAAAAGGTGGAAGCAATCCAGTGTCACTGACAGATGAATGGATAAACAAAATGTGGTATATACATAGCATGGAATATTATTCAGCCTTAAAAAGACAGGGATTATGACATAAGCTACGACTTGGATGAACCTTGATAACATTATACTAAGTGAAATAAGATAGTCATAAAGGACAAATACTGTATAATTCCACTTACATGAGGTTCCTAGAGTAGTCAAATTAATAGGACAGAAAGTAGAATGGTGGGTGCCAAAGGAAATGAGGAGCAATTATATATGGATAGAATTTCAGTTTGGGAAGAGGAAGAAAATTCTAAAGATGAATAGTGGCCATGGTTACATAACATTGTAAATGTATTCAATGCCACTAAACTGCACACTTAAAACAGTAAATCTTATGTTATGTATATTTTATCACAATAAACCCCAAATATATATAGTCAGTCTTGGTCCTCATGGAGATCATATTCTAATAGGGAAAAAAGACAAATAATAATCAAGCAAAAAAAAAAAAAAAGGAAGAATATTTGGCTCACTTTGGGAGGGGTCAGGAAAGACAACACAAATGTTTCTGCTACTGTGTATAATGTCTCTTTTCTGGTCATCAACTTTCTTATTTGACCTCTGTAGCATTTTAAACTACTGAGCTTCTCCTTTTCATTGGAAATAGACTTTTCATTCACTTCCATGCTGCCACTATTTTCTGGTTTTCTTTTCACCTCTCTGGCTGCTCTTTTTCAATCTGTTTCAAGGGTTCTTTCTCTACCTCCTTAAATAACTCATTCTTAGCCTTCTCTCCATTCTCATTGCCATTACAACTTGTGTTCATGCCCTTATCATTTCAAGCTTGGACTACTATTAACAGCTTCCTAGCAAGTTTTCTTGCCTCCAGGCTTGGCAAACATACTTCTATATATCACTCCCATCAACTCTCTGGATGGTGATTTTTGCAACACGTAATATAGACTATCTAATACTTTTCTGTAAACTGCTTCAGTGGCTCCTTTTTTGAGGGCAACATCTTTATTAAAATATAATCCACATATAATAAAATGCATCCTTTTAAAATAGAAAATTCCTTGGTTTTTAGCATATTCACACAATTATGCAACCATAATGACTATCTAATTTCAGAACATTTTCATCACCCCAAAAAGCAACCAAACAACGATTAGTTATCACTTCCCATTTCTCTGGCACAAATCTATTTTCTGTTTGCATTTGCCTATTTGGAACACTCACATAAATGTCATCATATAATATACGATATCTTTTGTGTCTCGCTTCCTAGCATAATGTTTTCTCAAAGTTCATCCACGTTGTAGCATGTATCAGTACTTCATTCCTTTGTATTCCCAAATGATATTCCACTGTATGGATATATCACATTTTGTTTATTCATTCCTTAACAGACACTTGGGTTGTTTCTACTTTTTGGCTATTATGAACATTCATATACAAGTTTTATACAGATATGTTTTCATTTCTCTTGAGTATATACCTAATAGTAGAACTTCTGGATAATTTTATGTTTAAAATTTTGAGAAACTGCTAAACTGTTCTCTTAAGGATTCTTAAAATGAAGTAGGGGTATAGGGATTCTTAAGGTCTTTAAGACCAGTAGAATTATTAGCCTTGTGAAGGAAAGGAGATAAACCTGCTCTGAATCTGGAAGAATAGAGGTGAGAGTGGGTAGATACAGTTATAAATTAAATTAATCTTATTCTATGTTGTGTAAGATTTAACATAGTGAAAACTTTTTATATAGTGGTTGGAATAAGGTGCTCATTCTAGTGTTTTTTTTTTTTAATCAAGAGTTGAACATGGACATTTTCATGTTTTTAAACTGTACCTCTGCTGGGCTCATACCTATAATCCCAACACTTTGGGAGGTGGAGGTGAGTGGATTGCCTGAGTCCAGGGGTTTGAGACCAGCCTGGGCAACTTGACAAGACCTCGACTCTACAATAAATAAAAAAATTAGCCAGGCATGGGTGCGCACACCTGTTGTTCCAGCTGCTTGGAAGGCTGAGGCAGAAGGATCACCTGTGCTCTGCAGGTCAAGACTATGGTGGCTGTGATCATGCCTGGGCACAGAGTGAGACACCAACTCAAAAAAAAATTGTAGCTCCAATGGAAAGATAGATAAACAAAATGGGGAAAAAAGTCACACTCACTTGAGTAGACCTTCGAGTCTGCCGAGCTTGTCTGGAGCGTGCTTTCCGTAAAGACTCTGCTTCCTCATCCCGTACAGGAGTCAGATAGGATCTGCAGAGAAAGAAAAGCAATAGCAAAAGCAAAAACTTTGCTACATGTACTTGAGAAATGACAAGGTGCTTCCACATACTGAAGGAATTTCTACACTCCAGGAATGAACTTGGGCAAAGTCAAAATGATAGGAATGCTGTCAGCCATCAGTAAACATGACAGCATCCAAGCTATTACAATAGTCGCCTCTTATCTGTGGTTTTGCTTTCTGTGGTCTCCACTGCCTGCGGTCAACTCCAGTCTGAAAATATTAAATGGACAATTCCAGAAATAAACAATTCATAAATTTTCAATTGTACACTGTTCTGAGTAGGGTGAGGAAATCTCATATTGTTCCACTCTGTCCCTCCTAAGATATAAATCATCCCTTTGTCCAATGTGTCTGTACTGTACATGCTACTGGCTGATTAGTTACTTAGTAGCCACCTGGGTTATCAGGTTGACTGTTGTGGTAGGTATCACAGTGTTTGTGTTCAAATAGCCCTTCTTTTACTTTATAATGGCCCCAAAGTATAAGAGTAGTGATGCTGACATTTTATTATAATGGTTTTGTTTTATAATCAGTTACTGTTAATCCCTTACTATGCCTAATTTATAAATTAAACGTTATCATAGATGCTTATTATAGAAAAAACATAATATATAATAGAATTTTGTACTATCTGCAGTTTCAGGTATCCATTGGGAGACTTGAAATGTATTCTCTGTGGATAAGGGGTGACTACCTTGTTTGTAAATGTATCACTGTTCATGCAGAATTATTTCCTCAATAATTTCTTTCCCTATTTTTACAATTTTTATTTCTTTTCTTGCCTTAATGCTTTGGCTAGAACCTCAAGGACATACTGAAAAGCAGTGGTGGCTGGGCGTGGTGGCTCAAGCCTATAATCCCAGCACTTTGGGAGGCTGAGGTGAGAGCATTGCCTGAGCCCATGGGTTCGAGAACAGTCTGGGCAACTTGGCAAGACCTCATTGCCACAATAAATCCAAAAATTAGCCCGGCATGGTAGCATGCACCTGAAGTTCCTGCTACTTGGAAGGTTGCAGAAGGATTGCCTGAGCCCAGCAGGTTGACGCTGGGGTGGCTGTGAGTGTGCTACTGCACTCCAGCCTGAACGACGGAGTGAGACTTCAACACAAAAAAAGAAAGACAAGACAAGAAAAGAAAAGCAGTGGTAATAGTATCCATACTGTGTAGTCCCCCCTGCCATTGGAGAGAATGCTATCAGCATTTTACCATTAAATGTAATGTTTGCTGTAAGATTTCTGCAGATACCATTCATCAAATTAAAGCAATTAGCTTCTATTCCTATAAAAAGTAGGCTAATCACTACTGTGTGTTGAGCTTTATCACATGCTATTCTCTCCCATGTATTGAGATTATTGCTTTTCTACTTTTTTCTGTTTATAATATAAATTACCTTGACTATTTTTTTTTTAAACAGACAAGGTCTTGTTCTGTCATGCAAGCTGAAGTGCAGTGGTGAAACCATGGCTCCCTACAACCTCAAACTCCTGGGCTCAAGTGATTCACTTACTTCAGCCTCTTGAGTAGCTAGGACTACAGGCATGCACCACCATGAAATTTTTTCATTTCTTGTAAAGACAAGGTCGTGTTATGTTGCTCAGGCTGGACTTGAACTCCTGGTCTCTAGCAATCCTTCCACCTCAGCCTCCCAATGTGCTGGGATTATAGGTGCAAACCACTGCGCCCAGGTACACTAAATAATTTTTGAATGATTAAACATTAAGTTCTTGATACAAGCTCAACTTGGTCAAGCTTTTATGTGGATTTGTTTATATGTATATTTGCTATTATGTAGCTCAAAATTCCTACAACAATGTTCATGAAAGAAGCTGGACTGCAATTTTCCTTTTTTGTCACATCCTGGCCTGCTTTGTGAATTGAGGTTATGAAAATTGGGATTGATCTATACTTGTCTATTTTCTATAAGAATTTGTGCAAGATTTGATTCCCTCCGGAAATAATTAGAAGAGTTCATCAATCAATCCATCTGGGTTTAGAGTGTTCTTTGTGGGAAGGTTTTAAATAATGGGTTTGATTTCTGTAATAGAGTTATTAGACGGTTTTATGCTTTGTTATGGTAATTGTTTTTCAAGAAATTTTTCATTTTATCCACATTTTCATATTTAGTGGCATAAAATTGTAATATCCATAGAATATATTTTAATTGCTATTTTAATATCTATAGCAGTAATTCTCAATTTTTTTTTTTTTTTGGTCTCAGGACCCTTTAATATTTTTTTTAATTACTAAGGCCCCCAAAGAGCTTTTGTTTACATGGGGATATATCCATTAATATTTACCTTATTAGAAATTAAAATTGAGAATATAAAAATATGTATACATGTATTAACTCCTTTAAAAATAAAAGCCCTAGATAAGATGAAATGATGTTGGCAGAATGGCTAACTAGAGTTACCTAAAGTTCATTCTTCTTACAAAAAGGGACCAAAACAATGAAAAAACTATACTTCAACTAAAATAACTGAGAAAGTATGCTGGAGAGCACAGTGGGAATGGTAAAAGCCCTGTGAAGCATGAAAGCCCAGCATCGCATCATAGAGTGGCAAGCAAAGCATTCTGCCTCTGCCATACTGTCTCTTCTACCATGATCAGCTTAGAGTCAATGGAGACATCTTAAGAGGAAAAGGTAAGCTGGAGATCACCAATGGTCCTCCTCATTGCCACCATAAATGCCAGAAATCCTTGTTATAGAAAAGCTCAGTACAGGCCCTGAACTCAGCTTGGAAAGCAGCTCGGTGTTCAAGTAGTTGTACTGCCTAAGAGTAGGAGACCACTCTGAGCACCCCTCAACCCTCACAACCTAAGCTGCTACTACTCAGTGCCACCTTGAAACTAGACCCACTACTAGAGTACATTCTGCCTAGGGGCCAGCAGCCACTGACTTCTTCTATCCCTGAGGCACCGGCCATCATTCTACCATATCTATACAGGTGTCTGTAGTACTATGACACCACTATCTGAAGCCTAAGCCAGATAGAATGACCAAGATCCCAGCATCTGAACCCCCCTCCCCTTTCAAGGAAACAAGCAAACCTGTATAGTGGGAAAGTTGCCTAACAGATGACCATGCTGGAAGACACCCACACTGCACAGTCAACTGGCTTGCCGAGTCCACATATACCCATGCCCAGACCAACAACCAGTCCTACAGTGGTCCGACCCCTCAGATTGCTGCAGAGTCACCTGACCCAGCTGCAGCCACACACAACCACCTGACCTGACAGCCAGGCTGGTGGTAGCCCTGTCCCCAAGACAGACCATTACAGAGTTTTACAGTCCTGCCATGCCTGTGTACAGCGTGACAATCAGTTCATCAGCAGCCCTGTCCTTCTGGACTTCTTAGCAGAAATCTAGCAGGCCAGGAAAGAATGAGATGATATATTCAAAGTGCTGAGAAAAGGAGGAATGCCTGTCAGCCAAGAATACTATAGCTAACAAAACTTCCCTCAGAAATGAGAGAGAAATAAAGATCTTTCCAGACAAGTAAAACTTGAGAAAATTTATCACTAGAACAGTCTTACAAGAAATGCTTAAGGGAGTGCTATAACTGGATATGAAGGGATGATAATTAGTGTCATAAAAACATGTAAAAGTATAAAACTCACCAGTAGAGATGAGTTCATAAATCAAACTCAGAATACCCCAGTGACATAATAATGCTATGTAAATCCCTCAGTCCTCTAGTATGAAGGTTTAAAGTCAAAATGGTCAAAAACTACAACAGGTACAATTAGTAGCTAAGGAACACACCACAGATTTTTTTTTAAAGAAGTAAATTAAGGCAACAAAATCGAAATTGAAAAGAAGTCTAGTATTTTTTTGCAACAAAAGTTAAGTTGCTATTAGCTTAAAATAGTGTATTATAACTACAAGATTCTTAAGTTAGCCCCAGAAAGAAAAAAAGAAATTACAGCAGAGACACAGATGAGAAAGAAACAAAGCTTAGCACCACAGAAAACCACCAAACCACAGAGGTAAATAAGAGGGGAGAAAAGGAACAAAGAATCTATAAAACAACCAGAAAACAACTAACAAACTGGTTGGAGTAAGTCCTTATCTATCAATAGTAAGATTGATGTAAATGTATTAAATTTTCCAATTAAAATATATAAAGTGGCCAAAGGAATAAAATATAAGACCCAACTATATGTTGCCTACAAGAGACTCACCTCACCATTAAAAACAAATATAGACTAAAATTAAAGGAATGGATAAGTATATTCCATGCAAATGGAAATCAACAGCAAGCAGGAGTAGCCATAATTATATTAGATAAAATAAGCTTTAAGTAAAAGACTGTAAAAAGAGAAAAATAAAGTCATTATATAATGATACAGGAATTCATTCAACAAGGGATATAAAAATTGTAAATATATATGCACCCAGCACCAGAGATCTAGATATATAAAGCAAATGTTATTAGACCTAAAGAGGGAGATAGGTTGTGATACAATAACAGTAGGAAACTTCAGTGTCCCACATTCAATAATAAAAAGATCATCTAGACACACACACACACACACACACACACACAAATCAACAAAAAATTCAGATTTAAACTGCAACATAAAGTAAATGGTCTGAACAGATAATTATAGAACATTCCATCTAACAGTTACAGAATACACAGTCTTCTCAGTTGCACATGCATCCTTCTCTAGAATAAATTATGTGAGACCCACAAAACAAATCTTAACAAATTTAAGAAGACAGAGATCATATCAAGCATTTTTTGTAATCAAAATGACATAAAACTAAAAATCGACAAAAAACTTTACAAATACATAGAAATTAAACAACATACTCCCAAACAACCAAGTCAATAAAGAAATTAAAAGTGATATGAGAAAATCAGAGATGAAAAAGGAGACATTACAACTATTACCACAGAAATACAAAAGATAATAAGAGACTTATGAACAACTATAGGCCTACAAATTTGGTAACACGA